CTCTAAGGACAGTTTCACTGGTGTGCCTAATGCGTTGTTTGTATTGAGTAGTTGGGGGCAACGAGACTCCCAATGAGTAGACATAATTCTTCACACTTAGGCTGCAAGCTGGTGCTGCTCTTCCTCCAGGGCATCCTCAGGGGCGTCCCATCTGCCTGGTGGAGAGCAGGGCTGCTCACTGGTTTCATTCTCACTCATTCAGGGGGTGTGCCTGGGCCACCTTAGAGTTGCAATAGAACATTGATGTGTCTCTAGACAGACCTGCTTTCGACACTCATGTAACAGATGGGTCTGTGCTGCCCTTAAGTTTGTGGTCCCCACACATCACAGCTGAATACAGTCCTCCCTGCAAGCTGCTGATTGTTTCTCTGAGCATGCAGACCTCTCAGGTCTTCTCTGGACTTGACAAATGCCAACATCCTGTTGTCTTTATGGAGAACAGTCTTCCCATGGGCGGAAGCTGCATTTATGTCCGTGGTATGGGGAAGATCCAAGGTTCATATAAATACTTTTTGGTAGTGCTGTTTCTTATCTTGAGTTGAAATTATCTGGGACAATACTGACAGACTTCAGAAACCTGGGACTAATTCACCTTTTGGGTAAAACATTGAGTAAGGAAAGTAGTTCTGTTTCATCCCTGTTGGAGGGAAGAATTCTCTTTGCATTTAACTGAAAAGGAAGTGTTTGTGGATCTTTTTTGTTTCATTGTGTGTATATTCTTTATATCCTTCTTTTATGCCTGTTCTGTAAATAAGGATCCACAGCTCTCAATAAAATATCCCTGGGCATTTGTTTTGCAATCATGAAGTCAATACTCCCTTCATAATAAGCTACTGGCTTTGCTACAAACACAAAACAAAACAGTAATGCATTGCAAAAGCACAGTTGTCTGTTTCCAACAGATGAGCTAAAGTCCTCAAATAGGAGCAAGAGTGTATATGTATGTGACTGTGTTTAATTTGCCTTGGGTAGCATGCAAGTCAAGGATTCTTTCTTTATTTTTGAACAAAGCTGTTTTTAAGAACCCTGAATTTGCATGAAAAAGATGCTGGTCCCATTTGGTTTCCCCACATATATTGGGACCTTGGGAGTTTGAAGATATGGTTTGCCAAGGGACTGCTGAACCCAAGGGCAAATGAGATGACTATAGAAAAGGCAGACCCACTTATTTTTAATACTTTGACTAAGTTGATAATTTGAGCTGAGAAATGAGAACATCTAGAAATGCTGAGATTTTCACCATAGATACTTTCACCCATCTGATAACTCTGTCACTTCCTTAAATTTTTATCAAGAATGACAACCCTTTCATACAAAAATAAAATATAATTCCTACTAAAAACAAAAATCTTGCAAATACATGACACACCAACGTTACGACAGATTTGAGAGATAGAAAGTACCAAAACTTAAGAAAGTATTCTTTTTTTTGCTTTTTTTTTTTTTTTTGGCCTTGAAACGCTTTTCAAAGGAAATAGGATTCAGAAACTTATGGCATAAAATAGGTCAAAATTGGGATGTTTTGCTTACTGGGACTCAGATGGTACTGGTCTTGTCCTTCCTATACCATAGAAAACCCCCAGCTGTTACTTACAAGTCTTAGAGATGCCAGCTTTATGATATTATGTATATTGCATTTCTCGAATAAATGATTTAAATCAATTACAGAGCATTTTTTTTTGAAGATTTTATTTATTTATTTAACAGAGAGAGAGAGAGAGATCACAAGTAGGCAGAGAGGCAGGCAGAGAAAGAAGAGGAAGCAGGCTCTCTGCTCAGCAGAGAGCCTGATGTGGGGCTCGATTCCAGGACCCTGAGACTGTGACCTGAGCCAAAGGCAGAGGCTTAACCCATTGAGCCACCCAGGTGCACCCAGAGCATGGTTTTAAAGAGACAGTTGTACTTGCTATTCTCACGAATTCTGCCATTCACTAGCTCACTACTTTGAATCAGCATAGCTCTCAAGTAACTAGACTTAAGCAAGTTTACAACTTATATAAATAAGGAGCTCTAGGTTACAGGGCTCATTCTGGGGATTGTCATTTCTGTGACTCAGACTACACCGAGATTTCTCATGCGTGTGTTATACATTTCCACGTGGCTCTTTGAAGTTGGGTACATTTCTGGTCACATGGTGGTAGGTCAAACCTAAGCTGGTATTTCCAGGTTCTACATATTTATTTTGCTCTGTTTTACCAACTCAGATGGCTAACATGCTGCCACTTTGAAGATGAGCCTTTCACATGGGTTCACTCACTGTTTATTAAATGCCTAAAAATGGAATGTGTGGGCAGAATATAAAATTCATGACTTATGAACATTTTCCTTCTTAAAAACTAGGTAATGGCCAAATTTGTTAAATTTTTCTTTCAAATTGGGTTTTATAAGATTTCACATGAATCTATACTGTGTGAAAATTCCTAATAGTGTTATAAAGGCAAACTCTTTTGAGGATAAAATAGTGATGTTTCTAACCTTTAAGCTGTACGAGGACTCTTTTCATCATTTAGTAGGATGATTGTGCTAAGATAGACTTTGCTCTGTTTCTAGGAATGTCTTCTTTACGCTAAACTGCTCTTGTAAAAAATTAACATGCTGTTAACATACATATTCAATCTTGTGCTGAAGATTCAGCAATCAGGAATAATGAGTCCAGGAAATTTTCTAGACTATTATTCCATTTCTACTTCAGTATCTTCTAGGTTAATTTCTTGAAGTGTGGTCCTAAGATGCTGAGTGTTCCTGAGATCTTTCAAGAGGTCTGAATCTACAGAAAGAGAGACAGAGACACAGAAACACAGAGAGAGAGAGTGTATGTAGTCTCCTTTAATTGTTCTGAGCAGTCATTTCATAGTTTTCACTGTAGTAGCCTGACAAACCTTTTGTAAATTTATTTCCTAAGTGTTTTATGTTCTGACACTATTGTAAATGAATTAAAAAAAAATTTCCAGTTGTTTGACGCTAGTATGTAAAAACACAATTGCTTTTTGTGTATTGGCTTATATCTGTGACTTTGCTAAACCCACTTATTAGTCGTATAGCTGTTTTCATAATTTCCTTAGTATTCTCTATTTGAAAAGTTGTTATCTGTGAATAGAGACAGTTTTACTTTCTCTTTTTTGACATTCACATCTTTTCTTTGTCTTTGTCTTATTGAACTACATAGGAGTTTTGCCAGTCTCTGAACTTTATATAAATGGAATCATAAACTATACACTCTTTTCTGTTTGCTCTTTCCATCTTTCATTTGCTGTGGTACTCTCTGTGTTGTTGTGATCAGGTATACATGACTCCTTCTCAGTACTTTCTGGTATCCCATTGTATGATTATGTAGAAGTTTACCCATTCTGTTGTTCATCGGGTGCACATTTTTAGTTTAAGGTGATAACAAAGACTGCATCTACGAACATTCTAGTTCATGTTATTTACTGAATATACCTATGCACTTCTGTTGTGTATATACTGAGTTGAACTGCTCATAAAGTATAGGGTATGTTCTTTGGTTTCTTTGTCCCTGTATCTACCATGTGTTTATTTTTCATATTAAACCAAAAGTCAGTCTTATTCTTCTCTTTCAATTCTTTGCTCCTTTCATCTGCTCATTAAGATTTGGGTCAGAGAACACAGAGATTTCTTCGTTGCTCACCTGACAAAGAGGAGCATGACTTCATCTCTTCCTGGCTTCTTCCTCTTGACTTTGTTTCCCTCCCCCACAGGCTCTATGCATGGGGTCCTGCCCCGAGCTCCCAAAACTTGTTCTCCTCAGGGATCTCCTGGTTCTAGTTTTCTTCCTTCTAATGTGTCTCTGTAGGCACGAATTCAAAGAGAACTATTCCTACTAAAAAACTGACTTAACTGTAACCAAACTAAAGCACATGTCTTCTTGGCAGTCGTAGGCATTTCAAAGACCCAAGCCGTTAGGCCTGGAGAAATCCTCTCACTCAGCTGGGAATTTGGTTGCTCCCTTGCTGTTCGCTAATAGCCAAATAGCCAGTCCCATGTAGAGGGAAGGCTGAGGGATGAAATATCACACAAATGGTTTCACAACTTGATAACCACAGAAGGATTTGGGGGGAAATCTGTACTAATACTAAGATTGGAAGATTACTGGAAGGGTTCACTTACCACTACTTCATCTGTAACCTTTTTTCTTAAGAATCATTAGCTATCCAAAGTGTAGTATCTGTCACTTTACAAAACATTCTTAAGATTCTGGTGAATATTAAATTTTATTCTAATTGAAATCAGAATTACAATTATAAAGATACAAAATGGACCCTATTGTAAAATAAAGAATGCTAAAATAAATGCTTTTAAATTTTACATATTGTCTAAGCCCTGAAAAACAATAAGCAAATTTTTTATTTAGGATTTGTGAGATAAAGAAAACCTAAAGTTTGATCCTAATACAATTGATGCATACCAGCTGGGAGCTGAGCCTATCTGAGCCTCAGTTTCCAAATTTGTAAATGGGGATAATAAAGCCTATTACAGTGTTGTTGTCAGACATATATAAGAGCATGGTACTTTGATGTGGCAAGTCTGTAAGTGATTTTCGATTATAATCTCAAGAATTTCAATTCAAGATTCAAGCCTGTTTGCCTTTTAAAATTCACCATCAGTAAAGAACAACAAAAGAAATTAAAATAACTCTATGTAAGCAAAGTTGATCCAGAAAGGACCACTGAAATATTTTCACCACAGGAAAATTTGTTTCTAAATTATATATGTTCATGAACTTAAAGGGAAGCTTTTACTTAGCATTTAGGGTTTATTTGGCTTTTATAAAATCCAAGGCAAAAAAAAAATTCTCTTTCATGACACTCAATGAAAACAATGCACGAATGACTTTAAATATTTATAGAAAGTTTAGTGGAGGAAGTGAGCTAAACCAGGGAAGGAGTTCCTCTGGAGACCTCAAAAGAATGTTTCAAAGCCATGCCAGTGTACCTCTACCCTGAGAAGAATAGGCGGCTAACCACGTGCTTTTGTTTCCTCAGGGAGAAATTGGCTGTGGCCCGGCTGCAGCGAGAAGTTGCCCAAAGAGGAAGTGAGGGGGCCATGGTAAGTGCTGGCTGGTCTCTCCTGATCTTGTACCTCCCTTCCAAAGGTCTCTGGCTTGAAAGGCATTTTGTCTCCTTAAGGACATCTAAGGAAAATATTTACTTGCAGCAAACTTAAGGATGTATTGGTAAATAATGTGTTTTTTCCTAATGCAGTTTGGACAGTTCTGCCATTTGCAGACAGGGAGAGAGGGAGGGAGAGGGGAGAGGAAGGGTGGGATTAATTGAGAAAAAGAACTGTCTGGGCTTTGAAGAGGATGTTCAAACATTCAGATTAGTTATATGGCTTCATTTCCTAAAGACCCGGGCTTCCAGCTGTGAGCAGAGTGTCAGTAAATGAGCAATGTTGGGTTCTCAGCTAAGAACGGTTCAACATAGCTCTAGCCTCTCAGTTCTTTGAACTTAGAAACAAACAACCTAAGAGAAAATGAAGATGTTTGCTAATGTAATTGTCTTCTATGCTTTTCTTTCTCTGCACTATTGCAGTGTGTTTCTCCCTGTCCTTCTCAGCATGTGCCGTTCAGAAAATGGATGTTTCCTTGTGTTTTGAATTATACTAAAAATCAATATGGTTGTTTTGGTCCATAGCAACTTCATTTTATTGACTCTCTTTGCAAAAGTCTCTGCCTGCGTGCCGCTCTAACATCAGAGATGACTGTATGGGGTCCCAGGGTGTGGACGTGTGGATTTAACTGCTGCTGCTACCTCTGAGCAAAAAAAAAAAAGGACAGCAGATTTTTTTTTTTTTTTCACTTAAGACGAAACAGAGGCACAGGTGAAATTTTCAGCACAAGAATTATCTTTTTTAAAAAAGAGAAGTGACACATTTTCAGACCCTGCAGACTTCTTGTTTGATTTCATGAGAGCTAATTGACGAGCCATCCCCCGAAAAGAATAAGAAATTGGTAAAATATGCTGGCCTCGCACTTCTCTCAGGGAGGATAAAGGTGTGGAGCAAGAGCCTGAATGTTTAGTGGGCTCTGGAATGGTGCAGTGGCCTTTGAGCATGCTAAAATATTTAGGTGATCACACTGTTTGCAATTCTAGTGATCTTAATGCAGTGAGAATCTTAAATGTTCAAACAATAGGAAACAACTGCTCACAAGCATCTTTGAGCAACGAAACAGAAATAGGTTGGAGAAAATAAAACATTTAGTCACATAGTGAACTAAAAATGCCCAATCTGGATTTTGATGGCATTGGGATATGTGTATGGACTAGGCCATTCTGTGATGTTTTAGTCTTTTGTTTCAGGCTAGCTGCTGTTGTACATGGTGAATGTTAAGAAGTGACAACTTTTCTAGGCCTCACTTCATATATATATATATATATACATATATATATATATATATACATATATATATATATGTATTTCATCTTCAAAATGAGGAGGTTGGAATTTTATGATTCCATTAACTTAGTGGATCACGCCACTGAACATTTGTTATGTAAAGTTTTTATGATAGGGAGCTTTTCCTCATAATATCTAAATGCTATTTAAGCTCATAAGAACAGGCCTCTAAAGAATGTCTCTGACTGCCAATGAATGGATCTCAGCTGAAGTAATCTCAGGCATATAACTCTATAGTCTTTTAACAAGATAAAAAACCCCTTTAGAAACATTGTAATAATTGTTCAGCATCAGACAAACACAAGGACACAAAAAGATTACTCTCATTGCTCAAAATACAACTTCGGAAATGTTACCAGTATTTTCTTATTCTTACTTTAGTTATGGTAATGAAAAATCACACTTAACATGTTGATTGATTTAACAAGCATTCATTGGGCACCTACTCTGTGCCTCACACTGTCCTAGGCCCTGGGGAAACATCAGACAGGGAGGAGGGGGGACCAGGCAAAAACCCGAGAACTTACATTCTAGCGGTTGTGGAGACGAGACAGACATTGGAAGTATTTAGAGTGATAGATGGTGGAAACAGCTATGAAAAAACAAGATCAGGGTAGAAGAGACTGGGAGTTCTAGGGCATCACTATTTTAAATAGTGTTTCAAAGAAGTAAATCACTGGAAAGTTCGTATTTGAGCAAAACTTGAAGGAGGCAAAAGAGTGAACAGTGGTGATATCTGGGAGAGGATCATTCTAGTCTGAGAGGTCAGCATACAGAGGATTGGGGTGCCCGAGGAAAAGCCTGGAGACAGGCTGGCTGGAGGGTAGTTGGTGGGGAGAGGGTGAATAGTAAAAGATACAATCAGTGAAACGATGGAGGACAGAGGGGCAAGCCAGGGATCTCCGGCTCACGCTGGGAGTGATAGGAGCCATTGAAAGCAGTGACATGATGTGATTTACTACTATTCATAGAACTGTTTACCCCCTTCCATAATTTATCACATCTCAATTCCTTAGAGACACCATAAGCTCTGATTTTCATTAATGCCCTTTACTTTGTTTGTTTTCCCTCTTTCTCGGTGTTTTTCTCCTCTTTACTTACCTCTGAGTTTTCTACTTAATTACATGCTTCAGATTTTCTGCTCCTTGGATTCATTTATTTCTGAAGTCCTGATTCTTTCAGTATCTGGCAGTTCCTAAAGTCAGGCAGTTCTGTTCATCCTCTAAATTTGATTCTTGCTGTTAAAAGCCCAGAACTTTTGTCATTTCTATAGCAGAAGAGAAAAAGAGTTCATCACAAGCACATCACATTGTTAAAGACTACTATTTACAGTAATGTTTATTTTTATCCACAAGAAAGGGAGAATGGTATGGAAAGTTAAGTATTTTTGAAAAAAATGATATAGTTGAGGAAGGTATTGATTTTTAGAATATCAGTGAACATTTTGTAATCAGGGTCTTTAATGTAAAATGCAAATTTTAAAAATTTGACTTCGTGCAATCTCTTTACTTACAAGTTTTAAGATAGTATTCAAGGCACCATTTTTGAGAGGTTTATTTTTTTTAACACACTTTTTATTTTGCAATAATTTTAACCTTAAAGGAAGTTTCACATCTGTATCCCCTTGATCTGTTTTCTAATGTTAATGTCTTCCATAAGTATGGCATAGTTTTAACAACTAAGAGATTACCCTTGGCGTGTTGCTGTTAACCAAATTTCAGATTTTATTAGAATTTCACCAGTTTTCCCAATAATTTCCATTTTATGATCTAGGATTCAATCCAGAGTACCACACTTCATATAGAGAGATTGCTGTTTAATGGCTAGTTCATACAAATGTTGGGATAAAAAGACCGTGAGCTTGGGAGTGAGGCAGGTCTGGATTCAAAGTCCGTCTCTGCCAGTAGTAGCTATGTGGGCTTGGGCACATTACTAGTTTTTATCAGTTCTGCCCATTCTTTTGTTCTGTTGACCTAAGTATTTATTTGGAAAACCTTTCTTTCAGTAATTAGATATTTCATATTTGTTTTCCTTTGTTTTTGACTCTTTCATGAAATAACTCACTATTGTTTTTATACTTAACTTTTTATTATTTTTCAAAAACTACTGTAAAATCATTTTGTCTTCATTCTTGGAGATTCTGTTTTCTCTTGTACTCCCTAACACTGGTTCAGTTTACATATGAAATCTATTCTGTCCTTAAGACTTTAATGCCATCTTAAATTTGGCTATATAAAAAAGGGCTCATTCTACCCCAGGAATAAAAGATATTCATTATCATTATCTTTTAGAAAATATATAGTTTTTTTCTTTCTGTCAATCTTGGCATCATCTAGATGGAATTAAGTTAGTGTGAGGTAAGGATCAAAAGGAATATTTTCCCCAAATCATTTATTAAATAGTCTAAACTTTACTGTTACCTTTACTGTATTCCAAATACCCATATTAATCTGCATGAGTTACTGGACTGCTTATACTTTTCCATTAACTGTTATTGATTCTTACAAGATTCTAAATTGTTTTAGTTACTAGAAATTGATAGTTTACTTAACATTTTGTAGGCTAGATTCCTTGTGATTATACTTTTTCCTCCAAACTTGCAAAGACAATTTTACTTATGAATAACAATAAGAATTTATGAGTTAAAATATGTGTTTAGATTTTAAAAAATAGTAAAGAGCGTTTTATATGTATCTACCACACAACAAAATATTGTAGTGAGACCATTTCAAAATGACAAGGAAACTGGCTTAAGTATATTTGCTGTTTTCTTAAGCTGATATTAAATTTTTAGAAGAATATCACTTGTGCCACTGTTTAACTTTTTTTTTTAATCAAAGAGATATTAATGTCTACAGAACACTAATACTCTTCCAGACATAATTTTTAAAATGCTTTGGCTAATTATGCAAAATCTTAGATATGGTTCCTTTTCGTCTCACTGGGTAATTTCTACTTGGGAAAAATAAAACTATTAATTCTTGATTTCTCATCTCAAGGTACTAGGAAAGGAAACAGAGGAAGCCCATTTGCCCTGTTTTAAGATTCCCTTTTTTTCTGCCTCGAGATATTCAGACATTGCCTCGATGTTACCATACTGATGGTTAGCTAAATTCAATCATACCCTCCCTTTTTTTCCTCACAATGATCTTCCAAGGAATAATGGGATTGAGATATTGGCAGAATAGGAATTTGAAGAAAAAACAGAAGAGTTTGAGAAAGTAGGAAGATCAGAATCCTTGGACCCACTGTGACATCCTTCCTGGAGGACAAGGCAAACTCATGGCCCCAGAAGCCCTCACTACATCTTGCTTATTCAGAGCCACAGTGTGGATAGCCAGCTATGGTGCTGACACTGGATTTGGGGGGTTGGAGATACAAACTTGGGGAATAACACGTATAGAACCTTCACCTCTGTAGTGCAGTGTTCAATACCTATTAATTAAACAAGAAGAGGTCATTCCTCTTAACTTAAGAGACACATGAAAACAGGAACATTGCACGCAGTCCAGGTTAACATAGCCTTGGTGAACTATCATGGTTTTGCTTAGTGTGCCCTTCTTGACATTGCTGAAGAGCTGTATAGATAACTGTAGAGTCTGGACTCTGATAGAAGACTTCCAAGAAGGGGAATTCAGAGTTTGGAAGCC